CACACAATCCCACGACACCATTATTTATTAAATACATTTCTAATTAAACTATTTGATTAATTGCAGGGAAAGCGCTTCCATTGAGTATACAGTAGAAAGATTTTGCAATTTAACACAAATCGGAGGTCTTCTCGACAGCAAAGGCTACGGAATCGCTGCCAGAAAAGGTATCAAACGATTTATATCGTGCGTTAATCTAATTACCCGTTTAATCGATTGACTCTATGACCAGACTCTCCATTCCGGATGCCTTTATCCCAAGCGATCCTTCAGTTACAAGAGAGTGGGGTTTTGTTGATACTGAAGGAGCGCTGGTGGAAGCAGAAGAAGGGCGGCGGACAGTGTATGGAAGACCATAAGAAAGGCTCCGGATCTGTCACCCCTCTCAAGATAGACAATGTCGGCGGTGTGTTTGTCGTACTGCTCGGTGGCCTCTCTTTCTCCCTATTTGTAGCCATAATGGAGTTCATGTGGAAAGCGAGGAATTTCACGATAGACCAGGTCTTGTCTTGTCATCGCTTTTGTCCCACAATTTTCCACTAATTTTGTTGTCGTTTTTATTTTGTCGCAAAATTCAGGACACGATATGTGAGGAAATGTTAAGTGATCTTAAATTCGCGTTTTCCTGTCAAAGCTCCTCGAAGTCCGCGAAACCGAGACTTGAGTACAAATACGACGAAAAGAGTGGTCTTCCGCCACAATTAGGGCCACATTTTTCTACTATCTATTGATTTACACAATCATTATTTAAAGGCAGCAATAATTGCGATATAAAACACCCGCAATAGAAAAACAAGAAGCAAAATTTGTTGAATGAAATTACAATCAAATCATTATCTCATTGTTACCACTAATTGTCTGCCGGAATGGCATTCAAATCTGTTCTTTTGTATAGTATTTCATGAAATATTTATGTTTTAAATACGAAATATACAAAACAAAAACGATAAAAAAAACTCAGTTTAAAAACTAAATAAAAATCCAAACCATTATTTTCGACAAAACAATACACATTACGGAATCGCTTTCGGGCCCCAAATCTCATTCATTACTTCTTATAATTATTATCAATCATTGGCTGAAAATACAAGAATATTCTGATTATTAGATTAGTTAAACAGTTAGCATAACTCTCTCTTTCTCTCTCTTACACTCAATGGTCGTTCATTTGTAGCTATTATTCAATTACTATTGATTTGGAGTTTACGCACAGATCGTCACTAAATTCTCAATACATTAATTAATGCCGTATTTATTGTTACAACAGATCCATTGTTTTCGTCAACTATTTTCATGATTCACGACATTTCACTTTCGTTTCGCTGAAATGATTATCAAATAAATGATTTTCATACACACAATGTTAATACAAGTGTTTATTTCCGACCAATTTTTCATTTAAATTCATTCAACAACACAAACAGACCCTAAAGTCATACATAAGATTAATTAAACAATTGTTTTACAAAAGAGTACAGAATATATAATATGAGTAAGAAATGTATTCATCAGTAATGGGAATGTAATTAATGTTTGAGAAATTGGGTATACATAGTAGGAAACAACAATTATCATCGTCATATTGATACAAATCATCAGGTTCATTTGTGAAGCACTTTTGTTATAATGTTGGTTTATCATAGATGTAACTGTTGTTTACTGACTTTAACCATGTGTGTGATAACATTGCTTTAAAATGCAAGTCAACGTCAATTGCAAATCCAGTGAAGATTCAATGAAGTCATTTGTGAGACCATTGTTCTCATATTGAATGCAATTTAAATAATGATTTGAGTCAAAACAACAATGTAAATAGTTGTAGTTTAAATATTTACGTTAGCATTTCGTTCCCATATACATTAATGCATGGTTAATGATTAGAAAATGATTATGCTAGATTATCATATCAATATAATAAGATTATAAACGATACAACTAATTCAACTAATGCCTAATCAACCTAAACATGGTTAATACTTGTTATTTTCTTAGAAACAATAATAACAACAGTTAGCCTATTATTAAAATGAAAATCAAACTGAACCTGATCGATTTTGATCATTTAATTATAAGAGGGTGTATTGATATACAGAATAATGTATTACAATAAGTGCTAATGATTTTCAAGTTAAGGTTTTTGTTCACATGAAATGGTATAAAATTTTAATTTCATATAATTATGAATCGTTTAAAAAACATTTGTAAACTACAGCTCATTGTTTATATAAATATATTGTAAATTTAGTTATCATTAAATATAATATAGTATTTTCTAATTAAATGTTAAAAATCAATGTTTATTAACATTTATTAAATATAAAATAAAAATTTTATTAAAAACGATTTTGTCTATCAATTTAATACTCAATTTATATTAACTTTTTATTTAAAACTCACATTTATTTTAGTTATTAAATAAATGCTTGAAAACAGTGATATTGTTTAAACATTTTCTTTATTTTGTTCAAAAAATTACAAATTACAGCAAAAAATTACATAATTTTCTGTACAATCGATTGGACATTATTTTCTCTGAAAAGCGACGATAATGTGAAATATTTGTCTCAATTTAATATTATTTTCAATCAATTAACAAAGAAGAAAACGTAATGACATAAATACCAACTGGTATTTCATTGGCCGATATTATTGCTTATGTTTGATAAAAACTTAATTGAATTGAATTTACAGCAAAAAAGTGAAACGACTTTTTGTCTCTATTTTTATGGGCAATGAATGAGAAGAGGAAATCAAATGACATGTCTTATGGGTTTTGTCTAACATTTGTCTCATAGATATATATTATATGCAGAATCGATGTCAAACTCGTAAGTCTTAATCAATTGTCTTTTATTTAATGCGGCGATTATTACATGAATTACGAAGTGTTGCTAAATATGATAATTTTTTGCCGACTTTTTTATTTTGTTTGAGAATTATTTGTTCACTAAAAACCAATCAATAGATTATACTTTTTTGTTTTATTGATTTTAACAAAACAAGTGTCTAATTAACATAATTATTGTTAAATAACAATTATAACTAGGAGAGAAGTGTGTTGAAAAATTAGCTGGATCAAATACCATATGATTTTATTTATTATGAATGTTGTTAAAAGCAAATTCAAATTCGTTCTAATTAACATAATTATTGTTAAATAACAATTATAACTAGGAGAGAAGTGTGTTGAAAAATTAGCTGGATCAAATACCATATGATTTTATTTATTATGAATGTTGTTAAAAGCAAATTCAAATTCGTGTATAAATACTTGGTAAAATTAAAGTAAGAATACATGTACATGTATGTTTTATTTATGGATTACAACATTACATTGTTTCATTTGATATAATCCGTATACAAATTACAACATTGCCTTCACAATGAATAATTCATATAACAATAATTGATCCAGCTCTGAATAAAAAACAAAATTGCCTTTTTGTACGGTAAGTATTGATTCAAAATTGACAAAAGCATTGGATTTATAACTGAATTATAATAAAGTATTTGTTATATTACATAATAGATCAATAAACTAATATATTTCTATAATTTTTATACATTTTATACTCTGTTTTTTGAAATCAACTATTAATACAAAAAACTCTTTAATATTTTTCTCCTCTAATAATAATTTTCTTAACGAATAGATTTGATTTTTATGTAACAAATATTGTTATAATAATATCACCGCCACTCGGAATAAATCTTTGTTTCATATCTAGTTATATAACAAAATTTAATTTTGTTTACAATTATTATTAATCGATGTGTTGTCACACAAGTCGGTCAATGTTGCAAAAAAGTGATGCTTTCAATCGTGAAGTAGTAATTAATTGAGATTTTATTAACTTTTCGCTTCGTATTCTTCTTATAATAAAATTTTTGTTTTTGTTTTTTAATTTATATTATAATTTGAAGGGTTTGTCACAAAAAATTCTCACTATAACTCTTCTGTGTCAACAAATCCTATGGCACTTAAAAACTTTAGTTAAAAATTTTTATCTCTTATTGTCTTATATTTTACGTGAAATTGTTTTATTGTCTTTAAATATTCATAGAGTAATTGAAAAGTATTTTATTTTGCATTTTATGCAATAAAAACAACGAATTTTACAGAATATTCTGTATTTTAGTTGAGAGACAATTTCTCCGCACAAAAACATATGACAACACATAACCAAAGGGCAAACAAAAAGAAGTTTTAGTCTATTGTTTTGTATTTTGTTAACAATACAATTGGCAATCAATTAATTTATTGATAATCAGTTTTCTGGTGATTTCGATCCCATTTCCGTTCATAACTTTATAGTTGTGTTGATTTATATACACACAAAACATA